AGTATATTATCGATGTATCTAGCAAATATTTTTTTAGAAATTGTTACTACGATTAAATTACTAACCTAACCTAGATGTTTATAAATTTAGTAATTTAACAGCAACAAGTACGTTAAGTAACTAGAGACATAATAATATCTATGTAAAAATAACAAAAGTATTATATTATTGATGTGTTGATTTCTGTTGATTCTCAGTTAATAAACATAGTTTTTAATCTATATAATGCTTATCTGTTGATTTTTAAATACCAAGAATTATTTATATTTCATTTGATTAAATATAAACATTCCACAATAATAGCATTATTATTTTCATATATAAATATATTTTTAAATCTCTCGCGGGAATTACAGCGGGATCCCGCTGTATGGACGAATTTACAGCAAATTTCCAGCTGGAAAAAAAAGACTGCGGGATTGCAAACCCTAATGTGGGTAGAATCAGAGAATCACACAACGTTTTTTTTTATATCTCTGTTCAGATAGTGTCTGTGCGAATATATCATTTTCAACACAGAATACGCTTTCGCAAGAATACTAGTTACTTGCTCTTTACATCTAAGACTATAATCAATAACAAGACCTAATTTTTTTGCCGAATCTTTAAACTCTATATTATCATCATTAATTTTTATCATCAGTCTGTCCAATAAGTTAGCTCTAATATTGTTACCACAGAAAAGCAAGGCAGCAGATTTATTTGGGGTTATTTTTAACAAATGATTTTTAGACGCAGATGCTAAGTTACATAAATCATTATTAATCTTAAAGTTAGCATGGACTACTTCAGAGGGATTAAAAGAATAGTAAAGCTGTGTATCATCCGCATACATATGATATTTACAATAAACCAGCGATTTAATAACATTTTAAGTGTATATAGAATACAGCAACGGCCCTAATATACTTCCTTGTGGCACACCAGACAGCATGACAAGAGGTTGTGAAAATGTGTTATCGAATAATACTCGCTGCTTCCTATCACAAAGAAATGAGGTTATTAGCGATGATGCGGGATTTGTAAAACCTATATCATGAAAAATTGAATTGAGTATATCGTAATTAAGAGTGTCAAACGCCTTACTATAATCCAACAAGACCAGTACCATATTATAGCTTCACTATTATCTCTTGACTTAAAAATATCATCTGTCAAATCAGAAAGAGCAGTTGAACAGCTATATCCACGCCTAAAACCAGATTGTTTTCCCGGAAGGACATTATTGACATTTAGAAATGCAGTAATTTGCATTTCCATAACTTTTTCAAGAATCTTACTCAATGCGGGTAAAATTGAGATCGATCGAAGATGGGTAGGCTCGGTTGGATTGTTAACCTTAGGAAGAGGAATGACGTTAGCACATTTCCAGGATTTAGGAAAATAAGACTGATCTATACATGCATTTATAATATGCGTAATAAAAGATACAATATACGGGCAACATATAAGTATAAGTGTTATATTTAATTCATCACATCCAAATGCTCTAGATTTCATATTTTTAATTATATGCATTATCAAAGTATCAGTTATAGTGTCAAAACTAAACGAATTATCAACTATTTTATTATGTTTATAAAAATTTATCAGTTCAACATCAGGCGCAACAGTATTGCATGATTCAATGAAATATTTATTCAACATCGCATAAATTTTCAGGTATATTTATATCTTTTCTTTTGCATATATTTAATTTTTTCAATTCATCCCATTTGTCTTTAGAATTAGAGTTTTGAAATTTGTAAGTAAGGTACGCTCTTTTTTCGGCCCTGATGGCACAAGTCGTTAAATTTCTATACTGTTTATATGTCGTTTTGATTTTCATGGACATGAAAAAACATGTAATTTTGAAACTTATTTGCAATTTGCTAGCTTAGCGTCACTTCTTTCAAGTTACTTTTTTTTAATATTTTTTCAGATTTTTCTGGTTCTATTATCTAATTCTACTGGAGTATTTGTGATAACTACCTGCCAATATTCCAAAATTGAGGTATGTATTTACTACATTTAGCTAAAAAAAATCGTTATATTTATTTTATTATTGTTTCAGATGACTTTAATAGGGGATCTACTGTGCAACTACAAGTTTTGGGTACCTATTATTATCTTTATCTGTATTGCAATTGCGGTCTACTATAAGGTATTTAAAATACTAGCTGGCTCCCATGTAAAACCGATGAACGACAGTGAATCTTCTCGTGTGGTAGGTACATATTCATATCATATGTGCAGGGTGACCTTTTTATCACGATATAGTTATACATGATGTTACAATATTCACCAATAAAATTCTCTGACCAAATATCAGAACAAATAGTCGTTCGAATATAAAATTTCAGAAAAAGTTTTTTAATATTTTGGATATGGACCCGGTACTTCGACTCTTGGTTAAGACTTGATTAACTAATCAGGCAATTAGACTGTGAATATACTATTATGAAATAAATCAGTTGTACAGTCTAATCATGTGATTACTTAACCAAATCTTAACCGAGACTCAAAGTAGGTACCGGATTTTATTTCACTTTTCTTACAGATATACGACGACGAAGATAGTCGGTAGGTTAGACTAAGTTAAGGACTTTGACTGCACAAGCAGAAAAGTTGTAATAATAAACATAAACATATAGCACAGTTTTCTTGAATTTTGGTGTGCTGGATGAAGTGGTACCTACAAAGACGATATGGAATTTTCCATCGGTAAAAATATTTTTACTAAATTAAATTCCGTAAGTATCTAATTTCTTATTATTAGTCATTACTAGCACTTTTTGACACCTTTTTTTTTTCAAAATTCGCCAGGCCTATTAAAATTTGCATACGGATGTATTTTTTTCCAGGGAACTTCCAATCAACTGTACAACTATCCTATTCCATGGTGGATAATGGATTATTTGAAAAATTGTATGTCTTATGAATAGATCTACTATGGATCAATGGGCACAAAGTCTGAAAGTTCTTGAGACTTTTGATCCAAGCGATCAGAACTATAACAGCATAGTTTCAAAAAAAAAGCCGAAAGTCGCTTTTCATAAAAATGATAAAACACGAGAATATATGGAGAAATAACATTCAACGAGATTTTCTATATCAACTTTTGTCTGGTGGATATTCTTATTCTAATTTTACCTTACTATTTTTAGTGAAAATCTAAAAATTTTCCGAGCAATTTTTTAATAATAATCTCAGTATTCAGTGCAATTTGTTAAATTGTCAGATATTGTATAAATTCAAATACATTCATATTTCTAATGGAAAACTTATTGTCGACTGTCAAATTATTAACAAATGTCCTTATTAAGGACTAAATAAATTAGCAAAACTAAAATTTATCAGTATTCAAATATTATGTTTACTAATATTACCTATTATTATTATTATATATTATACTATTATTATATAGATATTAATATAAAATAAAACGTAAAAATTATGAAACTATTTTCTCTACCCTCATATTTCATTCTAATTAAGTATTATCAAAAATAATTATTTTAAAATCGTGACCAAATAATAGGGAAGACCAAATAACACACAATTTTTGGATGCATGGGAATATATCATTAACATAAAAAGAAAAAAAGATTTACAAGTAAAAATTGAACACCCTCATAACAAACGAGTTTCGAACTGATATTTAAAAGTTAAGAATAAGATGTGATGTAAATTTTGAAACAAATATCAATATTCAATTGTGCAATTCTTGCAACGAATTTGTAATCGTATTGCCTAAAGGTTCATTAAAACCGTTTAATTTTTGATACAGCAAAAACCACTTATGCAACATATTACAGATGGTTTGTACAATCATATCTCTTCGAATTCTAAAAGTATTCATTGTATATGGGAAATACATAACGTTATCGTAGGTTTGATAAGCTTCTTGGCAACGTATATACACACTTTATCACAAGTTAACTGAATTTGAGAGAATGAGTATAACGTTTTCTATAAAGAAAAATATGTTCCTCGAAAACAACAAAGTTATTATTTATTTTATATCGCAAATTAACAAAAGTGTTAGTGAAATGTGTGGCGTTACATAAAGTATACTATATGCTAATAATGTTGCTAAGGTTTTAATATATTTTATATACTGTTTTGTGTAAATGTATTAGTGAGAGGATGTGAGTTTTTGTGTTTTTTAAAAAATGAAAACTAAAGTACTTTGTGTCATTAAGCGAAAGTGTGAGAAGTGAAAAAACAATTTGAAAAAAATTTCCGCCCTATTATTAAAGCATCATGTTCCACGTTCCATTAACGCGTTGCCAACGTGAGGAAAAATATTAGTGGCAGCACTGCGTTTTGCAACTAAAATATTTTTGACACCAAATAGTTCCTGTGATGTCCACGTACAAAAACACTTGATATTTACACTGCGATAGTGCATGGCAATTGGTTATTATCTATTTTTACAAGACATAAAAGAAAAGGAAAAACTGTGAAATATTATCATTGGAAAACAAACTCTCAGGTAAGTTTTTTTTTTTCTGCCATCATTTGTCATATACTGTAAAAAAAACGCATGTGAATTCATAAACGATATCTATAAACACTATTTTTAACCCTTAATTTACGACGGCCATTTTCTTAATTTTTATAGATGAAGACTAATACTGATATATATATATATTCTTTGAGACATAAAATGTATAAGAAACGTCATAACTGTTACAAACGTATTTATTAATATTAACATCAAACGTGGAAATGTTTACACCTATCAAATCAGAAAAAAGTAAGTTCTTTTGTGATTCTATGGGACCGGCCATAGTTTTATTGATTTCTATGTAAAATTATCCAATCTATTATTTCCCAGTTAACGGTTTCGCAGTTAACGTAAAACTGTCAGTTTTTGTGCTGAATTATGATCTTAAAAATATGCCCCACTTTGTTTTGATATTAAGTTAGTCACACCCCTGCATTTTTAAAAAAATACTGTATAAGGGAATAGAAAATGATCACCCCATACATATTATCTTAATGTTAGTCAAAATTAATCTTAAATAAGTAATCACACAATACATATTTACATCTGTATCTTTGTTTCAAAACGGCCAACATTGACTTTATGTAAACTACTGGGAAAAATTAGAGGAACAATTTTCGTACAATTTTCAGTGAATTTCGAAAGGCGAGATAAAAAATAAAGCATTTTGAAGATTTAATTTCTAGTTTCGAAATCTTTAGCCAAAATTTTTTTTTAAGCTACGGTTATCGAGCAATCAAAAGAAATACGTCGGAAAAAAATTTACAATTTTTCAGTTAGCTCATTTATTCAGCTTCCGTGCCGAGATATCGATGGTTGGGTAAAAAATGACACTTTTGTCTTTAATCATCGATATTTCTGCATGAAATTATTGCATTGTAAATCCAAGGGCAGTTTTGAAAACTTGAAAAAAAAAAAATTTTCATCCTTGACATCAGTTTGAAAAAAGTGCAAAAAATGACTTTTTACAGTTTCTTGTATTATCTACAGCTAATTTACAAATGTTTTTGAAAAACCTCATATTGAGAGAAATTTTTACAGCTCATTGTACCCTGAATAAATAAGCTAACTAACCTCTGTATTGACTGAGTTTGAAAAAAATTCCTGTCTATAGACAGTCCTAAAAATAAAAAAATAAAAATTTAGACATTTTTTTCTCGATATAGGTATTTCTTTTGGGTGCAGTTGCACATTTTTTTTGTTTAAAGGCCTTGAAACTAGAGACTTAAAGCTTCAAAAAGCTTTCCTTTTTATCTTGATACGATTATTTTTCACTGAGATACAGCCTTTGAAAAATTACTAAAAAATTCATTAAAATTTTTTGTTTCTTTAATTTTTCCAATAGAGTAAAATTGTATCAACTATTGTTGATTATCTACCTCCTACTAAATTTATTTATCAACTGAAATTTGACTCATAAAAAACGTTTGACACATATTGAATTAACAGATATAACATAATGTGGCAGTCGAAAAAATGGTCCTTAGACGTATGTTTGAAAGAAAACGTCGTGAAACTTCACAAAATTATTGTGGCATAAATAGGGACAAAACCTACAAGTGAAGGTAATACTTTCATAATTATAAAAATAACTACTCTGTAAATGTGTGTAAATGAATTTCCGCATATCTTCTGCACGTCATGTCATTTGAACAGTGTTACAATATTCCGTGTACAAGAAATTATCACAGATTTTTTGATTCGAAATAGGGCAATCCTTAATTCTATTTAAGGCAGGTCCATTTAAATTGTCTCCTTTTTCAAATAACTAAAACATTTTACCAAATTTAAATAAAATTTTCTGTATTTAGATGTCATCTTTTGAAATAAAAACCGAAGTTATGTTATCATAAGAATAATGGCTTTCTTGCAACTTTTTTCCTGTACATTATTTGTATTTATCCGGTTGACTCTTTTTTAATCACAATCTAAGGCTTTCCCGATACAAATCCAATTTAGCTAATTGTCAATTTGATTTTTTTGACAATAAAAAAAATAAAACTTCGGAAATCCAGAAAGAAAAAAATTTATTTACATGAAACTCAACCAAAAAATAAAAAAAATTCTTATTTTGGTAGATAAACATGGTGTAGAATATGGTAGGTAGGTATTCAAAGGGTTTTTTCGAAATTAACTTTATACATGAGCTATCGTATCATTTAGGCACCTAGATTATAGTTGTCTTTTTAGGTTTTTATTCTATTTTCTATAATTTTTTTGTCATTGCGAAATAACTGTAAATGATATAAGTGAAGGTATCTACCTATTGTATTAACAATTGATTTAAGTGACTGTAGAAAGCGATATTTTTCTGTACTTTCGATACAAAATGAACCTTTTTTTTGAAGGTGATAACGGCGCAGGACATATAACTGGTCACCATGACAGTATTTTGTACCTACAATTTTTACTTAAATACTTAACAAATATGTAGCAAAAATTCCCCAGCATTGTATATGTTGTTGTAAATGTTGGATTGAGAAAAACTGTTACTATTCATTGTTACTAAAAGGCGGCAATATTTTCATTTTCTAAAAAAAATATATCCATTTCATTACACTATTCAATTAGTTTCGTTCGTTAAGAATGTCTAATAAAGGTCAAAATTCACCGCGGATTATTTCTCTGAGAGCTCTTATCTGCTCTCAACAAGTACATAGTCATGCCAGTCTGCCACACCACCAATTCAACCAATCACAAGCAGGTAATCTCCGAGAGTATAACCACCCAGCCATTCACGAGATGCGCTGAGAGGCCTATTTCTTGTCGGAACCTGCCCAGATACGCTCAGTACTCGACCGAAATTAGCCTGAGGTAGATACGGGTTTGTGTGGAAAATTTCAAAGTGAATTTACAGCAAACGCCAAATATCTTCAAGGAATTCGTAATAGGGCAACGGTAGACAATAATATTTGTTACAAGGAACCTGTGTAGCTAAATTTATATAATTTCAGCCCAAATTACGAAACATATATCTTGGTTGTGCAATACTCAGTTTGTACACAACAAAAAAAAGTAGGTATATTGAATTAGACAGTTTATGCTTTTTGAAAAATTGAAGTTGGCTGTACTTTACGCTCGTTTAGACGTTTTGGACAGTAACGAGCAACAATTTGGAACAAAAAAATTAGTTTGTTAATTTTGAAAAAGTAAAAAACGTAAAAACAATACAATGAAATTCTAATAAAAATATTCGAAAAAGTTATTTTTTATTCACACGTTTGCAACTATCACCATTTTAATATTTACTTTTAAAATATTTCGTCCCTCTTATCACGTAGGGGCGTATAATCCAAGAAATGGATATACACATACGCCTCTACGTGATAATAGGGGCGATTTGTTTCGAATATTTGTTTTTTCCTGTTACTTTATTTTATTTATAAATGTTTCTGAGCTCAGAGATAGATACCAAGAAACTTATCTTATTGAGATTATCGGTGCAATATAATATTTTTTTTAACACTACAAAATTTACTATCGCTTGATTAATAATTAATTAAGAAAAATATTATATATTTTTAATTATTTTCTTATATAATGATGTGCAAATATTTTAA